CGGGCCCCGAGGCGGCAGCCGCCTGCAACGTCATCGTGAACGGCACGCGCGCCGCGGCCGAGGGCGCCAAGGGCTCGGAGCCGCCGCCGGAGCAGCCGCCGCCGCCGCCCGCGCCCAAGAAGCTGCTGTCGCCGGAGGAACCCGCGGTGAACGAGCTGGAGTCCGTCAAGGAGAACAACTGTGCTTCCAACTGCCACCTGGACGGGGAGGCGACCAAAAAGCTGATGGGGGAGGAGGCCCTGGCGGGGGGCGACAAGTCGGACCCGAACCTCAATAACCCTGCGGACGAGGATCACGCCTATGCTCTGCGGATGCTGCCCAAGACCGGCTGCGTGATCCAGCCTGTGCCAAAACCCGCGGAGAAGGCTGCCATGGCGCCGTGCGTCATCTCCTCGCCCATGCTCAGCGCCGGCCCTGAGGACCTGGAGCCGCCGCTCAAACGGAGGTGCCTCCGAATTAGAAATCAGAATAAGTAAAAGGTTTGTATGCCAGCCTGGGCGTTCCTCCACCCGCCAGGGCCCCTTGTCTTGCTTCCTGGAAGGCAGGGGCGAGCTGTATTCCTGTCCTCTCCTTTACATGTTTCACAGTGCTCTCTGTGTGGTCGTGTACCATCGACGTATTGATCCAAAGCCTATGACACTGGGTGATTCTTTAGTAGACTCATTTCCGTTTTACAGCTAAGAGCCAAGATCACTCAAGCCCAGTCTTGAACCTGTTGAAAAACACTCTTTAATTACACTTTTGTTTTCTTATTAGGTTCATGCCTAATTTATCCTGCTGGAAAAGAGCAGGATGCGGAAGGGGCGATTACTTGGGAAATCTAAATGTTCAGTCATTAGGTTGCAGAGCAGTGAAAGTCAGAGAACCCACAAGCTGGCTACCCACCTCTAGCGCTGTTAACCTTCTTGGCAGCTGTCCCAGCTCGCCCAACTGCATTGATGACCTTAGGCGTCCATCTGTGAGAAAAGAATAAAAGCCAGCCTTCTACAAGCTTGTGCATGCCAGCTGATCCCAGGCCACCAAACCACCTTTGCTTGCAGGGTAATGGAGCAATGGCTTATAGCTCCTGTGCAGTTTCTTCCTTGAGCCTGGCACCAGCCCACCAAGCTTTGCTCACCAACTTGCCACCCCGCCCCCTCGCTTTGGAAGCTCAGTGGCTGAGCTGATGGGTCCCTCACTTCATACAGAGGGAAGCTTTGACAAGTAAAGGGTGGCCTTGCTGAGGGCACATCTCTGCCTCCTATGACTTCTGAGTTCTTCTTAATACCCAGAGGGCCACTGAGGCTGAGTCAAAGATTTCTGTGAGGTGGTGGGGAACCAGTCTGTGAGCCACTGTAGCTGCATGCAATCACATTTGCTCCTGCTAAGACTAATGGTGGAGGCATCAGGTGCACATTACCAAGAACAAAGAGATGACTTAGATTTTGCCCAGTCAGAACCAGTCAGGGAGAAACTGTCCCCATGTTCATTTCAGGCCTGTCCACCCAAACTCAGAACATAGCTCTCCCTTTTATGCAAGTGGGCAAAAGCAGGCCAAAGAGTCACTTTATTAACATTTATAAAGAGGAAGGGAAGAGAAATGAGTGTTTCTGGAGCACTTAAACACTGTTCCTTCCAGGGGTTAGGGGATATGAAAAATGTGCTACTGGGCACCTTCAGTCTTGTGGGATATAAATCCTGGTAGGAGGGCAGCCTGGGGGAGAAAAGACAGGAAGAATATCCCTCACATGCGTGTGCTCTCTGTGAGTGCTTGCACTAGTTGTTTGGAGCTAGATTTGTAAAACAATTACTTTCTTCATTCTACTGTTGAGGAAACTGAGATAGATTTCCCAAGATTACCTAACCTGTAAGCAGAGTTGAGATTCAAATCCAACTGTTGAACTCCAAAGCTATATTTTCTTTAATCACTATAGGAGAATTAGCTAATTTGTTCCTTCATTACTTTATTTACTAACATTCTTCCATCTACCCCTGCTGCCTTTGAGAAAAAGTTCATAAAATACAACAATAGTGAGCCTCTATTTGCCTACTTCCTTAGTTTTCAGTTAGTCTTTTAGTATGGTTTTCCAGCTACAAACACAAACCTACACCACAACCTCTTTCTCCACAGTGGGGACTTAGACACCTAACTACCGCTAGAGGTTTGAGTGAAAGGCCAGAACGGATGCAGAGGGCTTGCTGGGTAATGCAAGAATCTTTCTCAGCCAGCAGGGTTTAAGGGTTCCTTTTCCTCTGACAGCTTTACCAGCAGGAGGAGAACACCTGAAAAGAGATCTCCATTCCTTCTTGATTGGCTATCTACAAGTGATGCTGTCTGAAGACATGGCCACAGCCTTCTCACAATCAGTTCAATTGGAAATGCCCCTGATTTGTTCACAAGAGTAATCTAATCTGCTTCACAGAGTTTGGGTGATGGGAAGATCTCTCTCTCTCTCTCTCTCTCTCTCTCTCTCTCATACACACACACACACACACGCACACACACAACCACCTCCACAAAGCACTGGGAAGTGTCATTTAAATACATTCTATTATCCCTCACTCAAGTAATATTAAAGGAAGAGTGGGAAGGTGAGAGATCTTATTGCCACTACTGAGGTAAGAATGACCAGGGCAAGAAGACCATAAAAGCATAAGATCTATGGTAGTTATTTGAATGATCTATGTTTCTGAATGAATAATCAGGTGAGGGTCTTGGATATGGATCACAGAATCACTATTAAAAATATTAACCTGGTATGAGCCAATTTCAGAAGATTCTGTGACCAAATTTCCTGATAGCTCTTGTGGTTGGAGAGTGCTTTTTATGATGGGACCCCCCCCAAGAAATTACAATCTTTCTTTAAAGTCAGAAATACTCAAATTTTGTGGGCAACGGAGAGGTGACAAGGCAAGAGATTTGAGAGAAGGGAGAACCACTTTTCCAGTAAGTCACCCTCCCATACCCTCAGTGGTCCCATGTCACCTCACAGCCTCTACCTGCCATAATTTACTCATTCTCTGGTCCTTTTTGATTTCCATGCACACGAGGTGTTTTTTTCCTACATCTTTAGAAGCTCAGCCTATTCATGTGGTTGAGGAAATCGGAAATACATCCATTAACTAAGGACTGCATCGCTTTTGCGCAAAGTGGAAAGTAGTAATAAAACAAAGCGAGGGCTGGGGAGATGGTTCAGTGGGCAAAGTGCTTGCCATGCAAACATGAGGAGCTGAGTTTGGATCCCCACAGCACCCATGTAAAAACTGGGGCATCTTGGCTTACACATGTAATCTCAGCACTGGAAGGCAGGAGGCCCACTGGGGCTTGCTGGTCAGACAGTCTAACCAAATCGGTAAGCTCCAAGCATAGATGTAGATAGACCCTGTCTCAAAAAGTTAGGTGGAGAGTAATTGAGGAAGACATCTGATGTTAACCTTCCATACACACAAACAGCAGCAGCACAAAATGCAGGCTGGTGAGAGACTGCCTGTGTGCCTTTGGTGATTCAGAGAAGAGCCTGTTAGTAATGACATGCAACATTCTTCGTTCTCCTTACTGTGTCCACCCTTTTCATACCACATCATGATTTTAAAGACTGTTTAAGGTAGACCCAAAGCATGCAACTTGAAAGCAGCAACCCAGTTGTCGTTGCCTTCAAAGAAATAGACACATTTGTTAGTTCTTTGCAAATTACAACCTCCCTTTCCCATTTTGAACTGAGTCTGTTCCCTGTTACCTGACTTTATTCATTCTTGTTTTTTCGTATGACTAGAAATGACTTCAATGGGCAAATGTTTTCCCCAGATGCAGAACTGATTAAGTTTAGTTGAAGATTTTAAAAGGTTGTAAACTCCTTTTAATCTTCAATGTTTAAGGTTCTAAATACCAGTCCCGCAGCTTCTGTAGCTAGAAAAAATACCCTCCAAATAATAAGGAAAACAGTGCATAATCATTTTCCAAACTATTCTATCCACAAAGAATTCCATTTATAAATGGAATATTCCTTTCTTTGTCATTGCCTGGAAGCTGGGTGGATAGCTGTTTGTATTTGTACATTTTCTGAATTTCTACAACTTCCACTTGTTTATGGTACTTTGGGGAGTTCAGAGTAATCATGTGCAAATGTTTGAAAATATTCAAAAGAAAATATTCCCCCCTCCTCAGTTTTCCAGGGAAATCACACATTCTCTTTAAATAAAATAATCAAAATTGAAAAAAAAATGCAGACCAGGAGTAACCCTTTCACCCCCATTCTTTTTATTTTCCTGGAGCAGTAGATTTATACAACTCCTACCTTGTGGCTCCTGAATTTCTTACATGTTTCTAGAACTGTAGGAATGTATAGGAAAAAACAATATGAGCGTCTTCCCTGGGTCCAGTTCCACAATGCTCCTCCAGGCTCAGCAGTAAAAGCTCTACTTTTTTTCTTTTCTTTCTTTTTTTTTTTTTTTAACTTGGGGAAAACTGGAGGAGTGTGTGTATGTGTGTAATTTTGGTTTAAGCATGGGATTAGTTTCATTAGGGAAGCGAAAGGTTGAAATGCTAAAGAACCCTTTTGCCAATTATGTTTCTCAAACTGAGAAGTTTAAGAGACCAAACTCTCTGGGAGGAGGTTGGAAAGTCCATACATTGAAAGCAATGCTATGGGTACAAACGGGAAGTACCTGGGCTTCTAGGCCACACTGGCTATTCAGTGTTTCAGCGTTTAATGATTAGAAATACTCATTGGTGACAGCCTAAGTTAAAGGGTTCGCCTGCTTGCCTATCAGTATGCAGTTGGCTGCGTAATTCTAGGTGGAGGTACTTTAGAGAGCCACTGACAAGCCACCAGGATGATGTCCTATACCCTGGCGATGGTGAGTGCCTGGGAAGTGCCAGCTGTGGTCACTTCAGCCTCCAGTAGAAAGCTTTCTGAATGAACAGCGGCAAGATGGGACACAGAAACATCCCATGCAGTGAGCTTCTGGCTACCTCAGAACCCATGATCAGGAGCTTGAAAAGGGAGGGTTCTAATGTGTAAGAGTGAGTTTTAGATATGTCAGTCACATCATGATGAAATATGAAATGATATATGACCATACTCCTGCTGCTCCAGGGAATTTATTACTTTGAGATACAGCCATAACCTTCCCATTTCAGATTTGCTGTGACTAAAATGGGGCAAGGGAAGCATTTTGTGCACAAGTTTCCACAAGGGTGCCACTGGTCCTGGCTATGCTCCCCCAGACCTCCTTTCTGGTCCGTGTGGCAGCTCCCCAAATCTGGTCTCCTATCCTTCTGGGCTGGTCTGTGGATAGCCTTCAACACCTTCCCTGACAATACATGGAGAGTTTTATGTGCCTATTCATGGAGGTGTTGTTTTGGGAGAATGAATCCATAGATTTTTGGCTCCAAAGAAAGTAAACCATTCATCTCTAAAGAATTGTTTTGCTTTTAGTGAGTAATATCTGACTTGGAGAGTTTTTTTGGTTCTCTAAGAAAGCTGAGTCAATAGTATGT